TAAGCACCACCTACCCTTGCTGTGGGTGGTAGTTGATGATGAAATACTGATCAAGAACAATGGCCTGACATGAGTCTTTATCAGATGATAACCCGTCACTGGCTATTAAAGGAGGATCCTTAATGTACAAGTTGGGGTACACTTATTAGCCCTATGACGAGGCCCTGGTGATTCCATCCTTATGGTTGGAAGTACTAGTCGCGGTGCCGTACGTCCGATGGAGACGTTGTAGATTTTCTGTTCATGTGGTGTAGCAGTTAGCTACCGTCAGTGATAGATCGCTCGATCCAAGGAACGGGAGGATAAGTTCAGTTCCTTGGATCAAAAGCCACTCACTGGCATCGAGTAACCTCACTGAAGGATTCCGGTGGTCGCGATGGTGCTGGACTTCTCGCAACTCATGAAGCTTTTTTCTTCTCAAGACCAACCAAGGCTTTGGACCAGGACCCAAGCGCCGAGGTGAATACAGGTGTGACCAATACCTCAGACCTGTTGTAGAGATTGTGATCTAGTATGTGATGATTGTGAAGGTGGTGTGTGATGTGCTGAGGAGGGAATCAAATGATCATAATCATATGGGTTTTATTTCAAAAACCCCATCAGCTTTCCCCTTTGTTGTGCGATGATCGTCTCCTGACACCAGTAACCTCTGTTCACCTAGCAGTGGTTATTAATTGACAGTTGTGGGTTGCTTCACTAAAAAAAAGGACCAATATTACAACAAACATCTGAGGAACAACCTCAAAATGACCTCAGCACTCGCCATAATGTAAGAATTAATAAAGGTATTCACTCAGTAAACAATGAACGCCTAACAAGGCAACACTGACAGAATGACTGTAGTGCATGATGAATGATAAGGTAAATTTTATGGTAATGTTGTATTCACGAGATTTTAGATATAAATATTCCTCGACAGTTATATATATCTATGAATGTAGACAAAAGTAGCATTGTGAGGAATTCCCTCCGTACTCTTTAGAAAAGATATTCCTCACAGGGAGGTATTCCTCACAGCACTATATTGTGAATTCGTGAGCAATATAGGTTATCACGCTTAAGCTGCCTATTTGGAACATCAAAATAATAGTTTTTGTTATCAGAGAACATCAACGATAGACAATGAACACGTACGTCTATTAAAGAACAACAATGTTGGACGTAGGAATGGCCTTCTACCACAGAACAACCATGTTGATCGTAGGAATGTTCTGTCAGAGAACAACTTTGAAAGTAGGAATGTCTTACTGTTAGAGAAAAACAATGTTCAGCATCGTCCTAGTGTATGTGGCTGATATATCACTCACATGCTTCACAGGAAAAACAAACTTCTTGCCCACATAGGTAATCCCGTCCACCGAGAATTAACATCACTTAGCCAGGAGACACTCCAACTTACTTTTAGTGTAAGGAAAGGTGAAACGGCGGACGTCGCCGTGCTGGTGGTCAGACGGACTATACCACATCGACCAGTAAGGTAGCTCAGGGTACACTTCTATATCTTATCACGACGCTGTACAGATGAAGCTATACAGCGAGTCATGTGTCCTGGATGGATGACGCTGTGTTATGGAGCACAGCAGTATGTGCGTCCAGTGTAGTTGATGCTGTGTTGAACACAGCAAATCATAAGTCCGCTGTGGTTATTCTGTGCTGTTGAACACTGCACGTTGTGCGACCGATGTGGTTGATGCTGTGTTTTAGAAAACTAAGTATATGTGACCACTGTGGTTGATAATTTGTTGCCCAACACAAGTCATAAGTCCGCTGTGGTTGATACTGTGTTGCTGGACACAAGATACGGGCTACACAGTCCTAGTGAGAGGGTGGGGGAGGGAGGGGAAGGTGACTCAGGTTTGATCTGAAAAAGAGAAGGGTTGCTCCAATTGCTCGGATCAACAGCCACCCACCCCGTCATCACCCTTGAAGTATCTACGCAGAGCTTCAACGAAATTCACTGCAACAACCCATATGGTTGAAAATATTCACAGCAATAACCAACAAGGCAGAAAACATTGCATGATGATAAACATTCAACGGAACAATCTCCGTATTCGAGTAATGAAGCCTACCGTGTAGGCGAAACGTTTCGGAATGAAGATAAGTAACTGTTGCACACGTGTCTTACTTATATTCATTTAGAAAAATGTGCCAGGATGTTCTTTCAGTGAAATCTTTCAGTGAGAAAAAAAGAAGGAATAAAAGGAGATATGATAATCCGATGTATGGGTGTAAAAACATGAAATAATGTGTTCAGGTTATTAATAATTTCAAGAGTCACATCTGTAAATTAAGAAGTAGAGTGAAAAAGATAACAGAAAACCTTCGCAGAGTGGTGGATCAGTGGGAAAAAGTTGAAAGTGGAGGACAGTAAGCGCTACAACCACTGGAAATTGAAAAAAAATACATAAGAGGAAATGGTTAAGTGTTACAAACACTAGAAAAAAAAGAGAAAAAAAAATGATGCTAGGTCACCACGAGCATAGTTCTTCTCCCCAAATTGGTAATTACAAATTGATTATTAAAACAACTGAAGTCTTTTAATGTGCATAGAGTATTTAAGAAGGAATATACTTGGTTTTTGACTGCGTCCCTGGTGCATGCGCGACTTTTTTTTTTTTCCTCATTTTATGTTTTGATCGTGCATATCCACAATCTATTTTTTGTTTGAATTACATGATAATGTGTATCTATTTCTGTTCTCTAATTTATTTTTATTTCCAGTACCGTATTGGTTTACCAAAAACTGCAACATTTCCTTGCGTCTGTAACTGGTTTCATCAAATATTCTGATATATTTCAGTTCTACTTTTTGTTGTGTTTCAGTCCCATTTTCTGTTGGTTTTCAAACTCATTTTCTGTTGACCTTCAGTCTCATTTTCTGTTATATTAAGACGCATACATATTCCATTTTCTATGGTTGTGTACGTGTCAACTGTTACGTTACCAGTGTTATCTCTGAGTGCTGACATACAAAAATGTACAAAAGCAACAGGTTTATCAGATGGCAGATCTTATCAGAGATATGATGCCAAACACCAACACACTTCTCACCACACACACTGGAGGACAGGAGGGTCAGGGGAAACATGATAACATACAAAATACTGCGAGGAATTGACAAGGTGGACAGAGACAGGATGTTTCAGAGATGGGACACAGAAACATGGGGTCACAAATGGATATTGAAGTCTCAGATGAGTCAAAGGAATGTTAGGAAGTATTTCTTTAGTCAAAGAGTTGTCAGGAAGTAGAATAGTCTGGCAAGCGACGTAGTGGAGGCAGAAACTATACATAGTTTTAAGACGAAGTATGATAAAGTTCATGGAGAAGGGATAGAGAGGACCTAGTAGCGACCAGTGAAGAGGCGGGGCAAGGAACTATGACTCGACCCCTGCAAGCACAAATAGGTGAGTACACACACACACACACACACACACTTCGTACCAAACTAACAAAATTAGATCTTTCGAAATAGACACACCAAACTCAAGTTTCAACTATACTACATTTCATAATCTATTAATCAATTTACAAATCAATCACATTTCAGATTTTCCCACGTTGCCTGGGTGAGAATACATGGCCTGTTGATCTTTGTAAATCCTCTTTAAACTCTTGTATATCCTAGGCTGGTGGGCCAAAACGTACTACTAGGCTTTCTCAGTCTGGCATACGTTCACATGAGACAGATATATGCAGTCTCCCCTTAAGGAAGCATGGGATAGCAGGTGTTCCTCTAGGATTTAATAAATGATCTGATTGTATATCCTTTATGTACATTTTTAATATACCTTCTATAAAGCAATTATATATCCTCAGAATATGATTCGTCCGAAGTGTACCAGGGAATTGAAAAGTGTACCAGGGAGTTGAGAAGAGAGGCTGAGAGTTGAAAGGAGTGTCAGGGAATTGATAAGGCTGCCAAGGAGTTTGAAACAGTGCCAGGGAGTTAAAAAGTGTGTCAGGGAGTGAGAAAAGTGCCAGGGAGTTTAAAAGTGCCTCATAATTAAAAAAAATATACCAGGGAGTTGAGAAGAGTGCCAGGGAGTTCAAAAAACACATTGGAGTCCAGAAGAGTGCCAGGAAGTTTAAAAGAGCCCCACAGAATTGAAAAATGTACAAGGGAGTTGAGAAGAGTGCCAGGGAGTTTAAAAAACACCTTGGAGTTCAGAAGAGTGCCCGGCAGTTGTTACAGCGCCTCCTGACGCGGTTAGGGCAGCAGAGCAGGGTACAGGGGAAGCACAACACTCCCAGCAAGGATCCACGCCCCGTCACTGCCTTCTTCAACACACCCACCTGAGACAAAGCAACCACACACTCACGTAAGTGTTATGATATAATAATAATAATGAAAACAACAACAATAATAATAATAATGATAGTAAAGAGGATAATAATAATAATAATAAAATACAATAACAATTAACAAAAATAATAATAATATAACAGGAGTCTTGATCAAGTAATGAGGACCCCCTCTCAGTACACAGTGGGCTTGACGCTGTGGTCTTGATGCTGTGGTCTTGATGCTGTGGTCTTGACGCTGTGGTCTTGACGCTGTGGTCTTGACGCTGTAGTCTTGACGCTGTGGTCTTGATGCTGTGGTCTTGACGCTGTGGTCTTGATGCTGTGATCTTGAAGTTGTGGTCCTGACGCTATGGTCTTGACGCTATGGTCTTGACGCTGTGGTCTTGACGCTATGGTCTTGACGCTGTGGTCTTGATGCTGTGGTCTTGACGCTATGGTCTTGACGCTGTGGTCTTGATGCTGTGATCTTGATGCTGTGGTCTTGACGCTGTGGTCTTGACGCTGTGGTCTTGACGCTGTGGTCTTGATGCTGTGGTCTTGACGCTGTGGTCTTGATGCTGTGATCTTGAAGTTGTGGTCCTGACGCTATGGTCTTGACGCTATGGTCTTGACGCTGTGGTCTTGACGCTGTGGTCTTGATGCTGTGATCTTGAAGTTGTGGTCCTGACGCTATGGTCTTGACGCTATGGTCTTGACGCTATGGTCTTGACGCTGTGGTCTTGACGTTATGGTCTTGATGCTGTGGTTTTGATGCTGTGGTCTTGACGCTATGGTCTTGACGCTGTGGTCTTGACGCTATGGTCTTGATGCTGTGGTCTTGACGCTGTGGTCTTGACGCTATGGTCTTGACGCTGTGGTCTTGATGCTGTGGTCTTGACGCTATGGTCTTGACGCTGTGGTCTTGACGCTGTGGTCTTGAAGTTGTGGTCTTGACGCTATGGTCTTGACGCTATGGTCTGGACGCTGTGGTCTTGATGCTGTGGTCTTGATGCTGTGGTCTTGATGCTGTGGTCTTGACGCTATGGTCTTGACGCTGTGGTCTTGACGCTATGGTCTTGACGCTATGGTCTTGACGCTATGGTCTTGACGCTGTGGTCTTGATGCTGTGGTCTTGATGCTGTGGTCTTGACGCTATGGTCTTGATGCTGATCTTGAAGTTGTGGTCCTGACGCTATGGTCTTGACGCCATGGTCTTGACGCTATGGTCTTGACGCTATGGTCTTGACGCTGTGGTTTTGACGCTGCTTTCTTGACGTTGTAGTCTTAACGCTGTGGTCTTGACGTTGTGGTCTTGAAGTCGAGATACGTTGAAATAGTTAGACAGATGTAGTATATTTGAACAGTCTAACGTGTGCAGTGAACTAGAATAGCAGTGTACGACGAACAGAAGTGTAGGCGTCCTCGAGATTGATCAGGCTACAACCGTCATATATCTGCAATGAAGCCATCGGATATCGATATCCAGTCGACATGGTAGAGTCATGGTTCCAGCTACATGAACCCAGGTTAAGTCCTACTTTCTTAATTGTCCAGGACACCATGCACTGCAGTAGTTAGGGTCAGGATAACTGAGGAATGTGGACGATACCTTTCAAGATGCCGCTATGATCGGGCAAACCGCCCACCCCAGGTAAATCATGTGATCTCACAGGTGTCATATACCTGATATAGTGGATCATATGGTGTTAGGGCATGTTACACTCCCCCCTGTCTCACCTACGTGGGACGTAAGACAAACCTCTGGGAAGGAATGACTGCAGGGTGCAGCTACTGTGATCTTTAGGTCGTCAACCTTTAAGATAATTGACAACATTCACCCAAAGTCCAAAATTGGTCTTTGGTCTTATACAATGTCTCCACATCTCATGGCATTCCTGTTGCTGACATCCCTCTTGTTGTGATGACATCCCTGTTGCTGTGATGACATCTCTGTTGCTGTGATGACATCCCTGTTGTTGTGACGATATCCCTGTTTCTGTGATGACACCCTGTTGCAGTGATGACATCCCTGTTGCTGTGATGGCACCAACTGCTCAATGATCCAGGGTTGCTGGACCTGAATACTTGGTGGCGACGAGAAGATCAATTACTTGTGATACAGCAAGACGCAATTTATTCCTCACCTCACTCTCCGCACCCCATTCTCAGGCATCTCTCAAAACATACACTCACCCATTCCTTCCTTCTCCACCACTGCATCTACATATACCAAGCCTGTAATTTGGTGTTTTATTCATTAAACTTAATAAAGTTGTTCTCAACAAAACATTTTCTATAATAAAGATTTACTACGTGTGTTCGTTCAATATTAGTGTTATTACTTTTTCATTATTACTATCATCATTAAAACTATTACACCAAGTTTCAGTATTGCCACTAAAGATAGTTGTGAATATTATCATCACAGGGCTGCGCTAAACCGCTAGGAGTTACACAGCGCTCGGGTATTGGGATATAGTTTGGTTCAATCCAAAGAAGGGGAAGACACCGTCATTCCTAGGTTCAAAAGCCCTTCACAGAAATTAAGGCACCTTCCTTGAAGGGTTGTTGTAAGTAATAATGTTGGTAACTTACTCTACACCCGGGGCAGTCTGTCTCTTTCATCACACGGAGTGAAGATGATGATTCTGGTGGTGGTGCTATTGTTGACAATGTTGTTGTGGGTGATGCTGCTGCTCTTGTTGGCGATGATGTTGGTGAGGGTGTTGGTGCTGTTATGGTTGGTGATGTTGCTGGTGCTGTTATGGTTGGTGATGTTGCTGGTGAGGGTGTTGCTGTTGATGGTGTTGGGAAGGCCGTTGTTGGGGAGTGTGGTGTTGTTGTTGGTGCGTCATGAGAATGATCCAGATGGGCAGGTTCTGAGATGCAGCCTAGATTCTCCATCACAGCAGAACATCACAGCAAGACAGGCGTTACACGCACACCAATTTACACAGCCTAAGAAGAAACATGCTTATTAAGCAGTGCTGTTTAAGGGAAACATGGGGGAAAATATTAAAAAAAGGGGGCTCAATTAAAAGCAGCTAATTTTAAGGCCTCTGTAAATATCTTGTAAGAAATACTAATCATGCATCCCAACACTGATGCATTGTTGAGTAGCGAATAAAGTTATTTACAGTAACATCTGCCTTGATGAATATGACACACGCGCATCACCTGGGTGGGTACCTTTATTGGAAAGACGTTTTCCTTGTGCAACAGGCTTTTTCAATCTAATACAAGCCCCGCTCATACATGTGACCACTACTGGATCTTCTTAAGTCATCTGCTTTCACCTCACGCCTCAGATTCGCCATGACTACGGTGGCGAACACTTTCGTCTAGGCTAAGTAAGTAAGTTTATTCAGGTATACACAAATACAGTTACATAGAATTATCATACATAGCAGCATATGTGTAGAGAACCTAGGATAACCCAAAAAAGTCAGACAGAGTGACTTATTTCCATTGGGGTCCTTTTACCTTCTTATTATAATATAGAGGTTATAATATTTTCTTATTATTCTACAATGAAGATAACATCTTATTATCATACTAAAAAGACTATCTACTACACCAAGGTCATTAAGACTATCTACAATACGAGGGTCATTAAGACTATCTACTACACGAGGGTCATTAAGACTGTTTACTACACGAGGGTCATTAAGACTAACTACAATACGAGGGTTATTACTAGGAATATGGTAAAATTTACACGTATGTTAGTTAAAAAATAGAAAATCATTCCCCTCCCTTTCTGTAGCTACATTCATCAGACACCTTTTGGCACTCTTCTTGAACTGGTTCATGCTATGACTGGCTTTGACATGTGCGGGCAGTCTGTTCCATTCCTTTATTGCTGTACAATAAAAGGTGTTTGAAGCCTGTCCAATGACTGTGGGTACTACAAAGTTGTGCTCTCTCCCCCTAGTACTATGATTGCTTTGGTTCCCAACCTTGACAAAATTGACAGCAAGATATTCTGGACATTGTTTGTGAGCAATTTTATAAACATGATTTAGCTTCAGTTGTTTTACTCTGTCTTCAACATTCAGCATATCCAACTGCTGTAATTCATCCTGGAATACATGTTCTCTTTGTCCCAGCCCCAGGATGAATCTTACGATTTTGTTCTGGGTGATTTGCAGTCTATCTTTCAGTTTTTTTGTCAAGGCAGAGTACCAAGAAGAGCAAGCGTAATCCATATGGCATTGTATAAGGGCTAGACATAGGGTCCTGCGAGCCTCAGTAGGTAGACACTGTGCTTGTCTATACAGGAACTTCAGTCTGGCATTCGCTTTCTTTACTACACTGTTCCCTATCAATTATCCTAACATGCATGGGTCAAAGGGGATTCCCAAATATTTTACTGATGAAACCAAAGTGATGGGCTCCCCATTACATTGAACATTAAAATTATTTACCCTTCTCAGTTTATGTTTCGTGCCAAAGAGAATGGCTTCAGTTTTCCCTAGGTGTATGTATTGTGAACATTGGGAGGGTCATGATTGATACCTTGTCTTCATCTGTCTTGCTTCAACACCTTCGAATAACCTCAGTACTTAATTAATAAAGCCAGTGGTTGGTGAAACGTCATAGACACCCAGGTGCTGCACGTGTCTTATTTATCATCTTGTCAGTATAGTAAACCATCACTGTTGCCATATGCTGTGGAATTTTTTTTTCATAATTTCCTAAATGTAAAACATATAAATGAATAATATAATAATTGCATATTAAAATGTGATGCTATTTGGACCCCCTCGAGAAATTTCGAGTGAGGGGGGAGGCAGAACAGTCAGGATAGTGACGCCGAAGACACCATATTGAATTTAATGTGTGTACACTGCGCTGAATTGTGCAATGTAATCAGGTGTTCTCGAAGGTCAACTGGGGTTTTTCGGCCGGAATTTGTAATAGGAACCCGTGTTAATGTCTCTGCTGAAGAACTAGGATAGTGTGGAAAGCCCTTACAAATCGGCAACCAGGACGGAAAAATAGAAGACACCAATTCTCCCAGGAGCACACCTTAGCTAAGTGACGCTTACCCATAATGTACAGTAGTTTTTGCATTGTCCATCGGAAATTCTAGCTGCTAGGGTAAGGTTAGGGTGTGTTCCATCAGCACTGTCTTCCACTAATTAAATTATAAGTGTTAATATTAATTTCTTTTGTGTACCCAGCAAGCCTAATCCTATACAGTTCGCATTATTTAGAATTTACCTTTATTGGTATTAATGTTTAATATTGTAATTATTAATATAATGTTAGGTCTAGCTTTTCGTGAGTGGTAGGGAGTGGTCATCGAGGGAGTTACAGTTAGACTACCTGGTGTGACTTAAGTCCCACTTACCTCACCCAAATTGTTTGCAGGTATTAATTCAGGTAATGCCCTGTAAGCCTCCTGCATGTAATTTACTCACATAATAATAATAATAATAATAATAATAATAATAATAATAATAATAATAATAATAATAATAATAATAATAATAATAATAATAATAATTCATATTCCTTCAATTTAATGATACTTGTTTGACACAACAACAGCACAGATTCTTGGTATAAAGAATATTTTCTACAACTCCACTGCTAAGATCTGGCCCACATTATGAGCATGACCTACTTTCATTAGTGGGTCTTACCCACCTGTGTGGGGTTAACAAAAACATTATTCGGAGGACTGAGGAAAAGATGTTGAGGTCTGGACATTTAGAGAGGTGGACCAAGATAGGATGACTAGGAGGACGTATAACTCTAGGTAGGAAGGAAAGTGTAGGGATCGTCGTAGGAAAGGATGGAGGGAGGAAGTAAAGGTGGTTTTGGTATAAACCTTGGTAATAAATACCGACAAGTTGGTTTAGAAAGACACATAAGCAAACACTATGACTTATTTATTAGAAAACAAACCATACCACGGGCGGGATTGAACCCGCGGTCAGAGAGTCTCAAAACTCCAGACCGTCGCGTTAGCCACTGGACCAGCTAGCCACATAAGATTCGTCCAACTAGGTATAGTTAGCCTATGCTAACCTAACTATGGTGTAGAAATATACCTAGTTGGACGAATCTTATGTGGCTAGCTGGTCCAGTGGCTAACGCGACGGTCTGGACTTTTGAGACTCTCTGACCGCGGGTTCAATCCCGCCCATAGTATGGTTTGTTTGCAATCGTGTCATTACGATTTCGTGATTCGTGGGACCTTGATCACTTCTGAAGTGATCAAGGTCACGGGACCGAAACGTTTTCTAATAAATATGTCATAGTGTTTGCTTACGTGTCTTTCTAAACCAAAGGTGGTTTTGAGTGCTAAGAACTTTAACATAGAACAGGCTTGTGTGAGCCTGTTAGATAGGAGTGGAGGCAAGTGATTTTTATGATTTGACGTGTTGTTGGATTGTGAGCAGGGTAACATTTATGACGGTATTCAGGGAAGCCGGTTAGCCGGACTTGGAAGTGGAAAGGGCAGTACCTGCACTTTGAATAAGGGTTGGGGATGTTACGGCTCAAAGGGTTATCTGAAATGTGATATCAGAATTCTTTTGGCAAAACATTTAATGAATGAATGATGGTGAAAGAGTTTCCTCTTTTTTGGATCACCCTACCTCAGTGTTAAAAAAAAACATGATGCAAATACAACCAATTATATTAAATTAGTTTTTGTCTATATAGTATAAATCTAAATAAATATGTAGCTACCAAATATGAGGAAGTCACTAGTAGGTTTTTTTTAAGAAATTTATCTGGCAACACTGATATTAAGTCTTGCATTGATCTTCCAAATGTTTATATCACAGCAACTTAGACCTGTTCTCTTTGCTGACGACACAACTTTTGATATATCCTACCCAAGTCTACCTTCCTTCTACTACATTATGTTTACAACCTGACCTAACTGTTAGAATTACATCTTAATTTTATTCACTTGGTTAAATGTGAAACTTAGTGGAAATATGACTTGTTGCTCAATGGAAGTGTACTTACGCTCACAGCCGAAGGTACCCCGGTTTGATTTCCAGGCACGACTGGACCTTTTGGCAAGTCTCCTTGTTGCCTCTGTTTAACTAGAAGTAAATAAGCATCTAGGTGTTAGCTGACTCTTGTAAGTAGTGCACCTTAGACAGGGCTTGGATTTGAACCGAGCTAAGGGAGGTCAACAGCTCTCAGCATGTAAAGTCAATTGTACACAAAAAATCAAAGAAACCGCATAACTATTTCAAAATGAAAAATGAAAAAGAATCATTTGTCGATATTTATTATTATCTCCTAAATTTGCAAGCAAGTCACCAAGGTCTGCGGGTGAAAAATGATCTGGGGTCGTTTTCTTAATTTAACATATGGAAATTAATTATCCTTGGATATTAGCTGAGGGAGCACCTCACGGTGAATTACTGCACATAATGACACCATCACTAGACATCTTATTCACTATTATCTTCTACAACTGCACGCTGAGAATGTGGCAGTCTCTGTGTAGGTATGTAGTAGACCTTATACGCGATTTCAATGGAAAACAATGGCTAATTAGATTAGTTAATCCTATCTCTTCACCCGTTAATACTACCACTTTTCTCTGTTTAATGAGTGTAATAGGTCCTTAATTTCATTCACAAAACGATCTTTTTCTTCAGCCTCCATGAATGGAAGGGTTACCTGATCATGTCCAAAGCAGTCTTATATAAATTAGCTTATTAAGAGAGTTAACAAGTACCTAATGAATCAAGTTACAGAGAGGGATGAGCGTGATTTCTTATATAGTTAATATTCGCATGTTATACTTAGCTGATTTCTTCAGTTTAATACTCGTGTAATTTATTCTCATCTATCTGATTTGCTCACTTTAATTTATTCCTATTGTATCTGTTTATTAATTAATTTTCATGCACTTCATTAACACAGCTTGCTTTATTTTTTAGTGTTAATAATTATGAATGATTTGTACTGTACGTCACAGTTAGGCTGCTAAAAGTACATGTAATGCATTACAAGACTCCAAGGAAATTTGTCACTACCTTTTTGTGGGGCTATCTTACTTAATTTACACATATGTTACTAAGACAATTGTAAATTGGACTCATAAAAATTGTGTAAAACTACCTAAATAAACTTACTTTCCTACTTAACTTCCGGGATAGAAAGATTCTCCTCAATTGCTGGGATAAAAGAATTCCCCTCAGTTGCCGGGAGAGAAGGATTCTCCTCAA